AGGCTTCTGCCTTCGGCTTGGGTCATGATCCCAGGGTCCTGGGATCGAGCCCCGCATCAGGTTCCCTGCTCCGCGGGAAGCCTGCTTCTCCCTCTCCCCCTCCCCCTGCTTGTGTTCCCTCTCTAGCTTTCTCTCTCTCTCTCTCTGTCAAATGAATGAATAAAATCTTTAAAAAAAAAAAAATCTTTTTTTTAAAACAACTTTATTTTTTATTTTATTATTTTTTTAAGATTTTATTTTTTTGAGAGAGAGAGCACGAGCGGGAGGGGCAGAGGGAGGAGGGGTCAAAACAGACTCCCCACTGAGCAGGGCGCCCGACGTGGGGCTCAATCCCACGACCCTGAGACCGTGACCTGAGCCAAAGGCAGTCACTCAACCAACTGAGCCACCCTGTGCAAGATCTTTACCTGAAAATTTGCACTGAATTCTTAGAAGAGAGCCCTGAGGTAGAGGTTTTGAATCCCCATCTTACAGAGGAGGAAAATGAAGGCCCAGGAGGTGAGGCCACTTGTCCGGATCACGTGGCTCACGGCCGATTCAGCCCTTAACGCTCGAGTCTCCTGGGCCCCTCAGGATCCCTGATCCCCTCTGTAGGCCAGCGCGAGGTTTTGGGTGATCCCCTTCTCTCTCCCCCTCCCCGGGCCGCAGGTGATGCGGATGACCCTGAACACCATGACCTGGCGGCGGCGGGAGATGGTGCGGTGGCTGGTCAGCTGTGCCACAGAGATCGGTGAGTCCCCGAGGGAACCTGCCACCCCTCTCCCTGTGGAGAGAGAAGCAGAGCCTTTTCCCTGGCTCCAGCCCGAGGTCAGGGCTATGCTGGTGGGGAGGCGGGTTGCGGGGGACAGAGCTGGTCGAAGGCCTGGAAGCTGGCCAGGCTGAAGTGGCTTGGAGAAGGGACAGGAGCCCTGAAGCGGTACATAGAACCCCCCCCACGCACTCTCCCCCCCCCCCCACTTTGGAAGATGAAGTGCAGTTTGTGTCAAGCTGGGGGCGGAAGCAGAGGGGTTGTGTCTTCAGCCCCAGCGGGCGGGGATGGCGGCGTGAGGGCAAACCCGGGCGCACTCGATTGGGCCCTGCCCTCCTTCCTGGCCAGCTTTGCCCTCTTGCCGCCCCCAGGCCCGCAAGCCCTGATGAACATCATGCAGAACTGGTACTCCTTATTCACACCGGTGGAGGCTGCCACCATCGTGGCGGTGACCGGCACCACGCACGCCACGCTGTCGCGGCTGCAGCTGGACGCAGCCCGGCGGGAGGAGCTCTGGGCCTGTGCGCGCACCCTGGCCTTGCAGTGCGCCATGAAAGACCCGCAGAACTGCGCCCTGCCCGCCCTCACCCTGTGTGAGAAGAACCGCGCAGCCTTCGAGGCCGCCTACCAGATCGTGCTGGACGCGGCGGCCGGCGGCCTGGGCCACGCCCACCTCTTCCCGGTGGCACGCTACATGGAGCAGCGCGGCCTGCCGCTGCGGGCCTACAAGCTGGCCACGCTGGCCCTGGCACAGCTCAGCATCGCCTTCAACCAGGACAGCCACCCCGCCGTCAACGATGTGCTCTGGGCCTGCTCGCTCAGCCACTCGCTGGGCCGGCACGAGCTCTCCGCCATCGTCCCCCTCATCATCCGCAGCATCCACTGCGCCCCCATGCTCTCTGACATCCTGCGCCGCTGGACCCTCGCGGCACCTGGCCTGGGGCCCCTGGGGGCCCGCCGCGCCACCAAGCCGCTGGGCGCCGACCGGGCTCCGCTCTGCCAGCTCCTGGACGCCGCAGTGGCCGCCTACATCGCCACCAGCCATTCCCGCCTCACGCACATTAGCCCGCGGCACTATGGCGACTTCATCGAGTTCCTGGGCCAGGCCCGGGAGACCTTCCTGCTGGCGCCTGACGGGCACCTGCAGTTCGCCCAGTTCCTGGAGAACCTCAAACAGACCTACAAGGGCAAGAAGAAGCTCATGCTCTTGGTGCGGGAGCGCTTCGGCTGAGGGGCAGCAGGCCGCGTCGGGGACCCCCTTGGCCCCCGCTTCTGTGGCACCAGCCTCCATCAGGGGCCTCAACACTGGGGGCCCATGTGGCATTTCAGTATTAAGTCAGGGAAGGAGCCCAGCCGGAGCTAGGTGGTCTTACCTGCCATCCCCCCGAGCCCTACTGGAGGGGGGACCACCCCGGGGGGGGGGTGACGTCCTGCCACATGCGTGCCTAGGAGTGTGCGAGCGAGTGTGCGAGACGCAAGGATCAGAAGCCATACCACCACCCAGAGGCCTGGAAGGGGGTGTGTGCTTGGGCAGCTGGTATGAACCCGCCTTGGGCACCCCAAAAGCAATAGGCAAGCTCTCCCTCCCCAAACTGGCAGGCCTGGCTTGGACTGGGGGTGGGGGCTGCAAGGCAGGACTTTCCAGAAACTGGCTCTTAAAGTCAATGTAGCAGACCCTCCCCACACCCCACTCTGGGTGGCCAGGGGACTTGTGTTAGGGCGTCTAAATCTCCTTTTATACCCTCCCCTCACTGCCTCAGGGGCCCCGTTCCGCAGCCCTATGCCCTTGCCAGGCTGCCCAGCTGGGACCAATGGCTCATCCCCACTGAAGGATTTAAAGAGGCCTCAGGCCTCAGCCACATACCTCACCGCCCCCCCCCCCCAGTCCCGCCAGGACTCCCATTCCCGAGGATGCCAAGGTCCCAGGGTGGGCTTGAGGGGTCACTCCTGTCCCTCCCCCTACCTGCTAGTCACTGGACATACAACTCAGGAACTGAGCCAGGCTCATGCTGTCCTCCAAACCTGGTGTTGGGGGGAGACAAGCCCAGGAGAGCCAGAGACCCCCCACCCCAGATCTGGAAAGCAGAAAGGTTGGCATCTTGGCATTTTCTGGCTCTGGCTCTGGCTCTGGCTCTGCCTTTCTCCTCCTCCTCCATGTCCCTGCTCCAGCCCTTCATCTTACTCTCCCTTTCCATATTTCCCTCTGTTTCGCCTATCTGTGGCTCTGAATCGCAGCTGCTGTCTCTCTTGGGTCTCCCTTGCCCCACCTTGGCCCAGGGACGAGGAGGGAGAGTGTCCCACCCCGATCACCCCCTCTGTCTTTTCTCCTCTTGTAATTAAGGACAAAATCATGTCATTTTGTAACTTTTTTTCTATTTATTGAACTGTATATTGTATTTCCTTTTTCCTTTTTTTTTTTTTTAAATATTGAACACAGCTTTTGAGACTGAGGTATGTCCCCTCCCCCCACCCCAGACCAGGGCTCCCTGATCCCTCCACAGAAAATCTCCAGCCTTACTTGCTCGGGGCACAACTTCACGCGAGGGATGGAAGGGTGCAGACTGCTGGTTTCACCCAGTGGCTGTAGTGGAGATACTCAGGGCTGACCCCCAAGAGGAGTGCTTTATAACTGTCACCTGTTACAACGCCTGTCCCAACAGCCCTACGAGTCGGGAGGAATATCCTTCCCATTTTACAGAGGAGAAACCTGGGGTTCCGAAGTTTAAGGAAAGGGTACCAATCTTAGGAAGAGACAGAGCTTTACTATGCTGGAGCCAACTAACCCTGGCCACCTCAGGCTTCACGGCCCTTACAGTGCTGGCAGTGGCCACTAGGGGGTGCCCTGGCTCCAGACACCGCTACTGGGGGTACTTGTCTCCCAAGTTGCTGAGCACGGGGGCCGTGTCAGGTGCTCGGTGCACCTGGGAGGGGAAGACACACCCCTCCCCACCCACCAAAGATGGGAATCCTGGGCTTGGGCTAGGCCTTGGTGGGCGGGCTCTGGCGTTGGCTAGGACGGGTGGGCGTGGTCAGTGAGGGGCGCGGCCCGGGTGCGGTCCTGGACTCCTACGCCGCGGATGAGGTTTTTCGAGGCCCCCAAATAGAGGGAGCGGTGTGGCCTGGGGGACTGCGAAGAAGGCCCTCGGTTGCCTTCCTTCCCTGGCTCCCTGAGAAGCAGGACCTCCCTTGGGATCTGCCTGTCTTTGGAGAGTGACAGACGGGTGAACAAAGTGTCTGGGTCACTGTCAGGGCCGGGGCAGGCGAGGACAAGCTTCCCGGAGGGGCGGGGCAGTGGGCGGGGCCGGCCGCTAGAGGGCGCCAAGGTGGCGCGCGCAGTCGTGGGCGGAGTATCGGCTGCGCTGGGCACAGCGATTGGCTCGTGGCGACGCCCTCCGCCAAAGAGGGCCAATTGGACATGGACCCATCTCCCGCCCCGCCTCGCCCCTTCCCGCAGGTATGTGCCGGCGGACTCCAGCTGGCCGGCCTGCTCCTTTGCGCCGCCTGGAGGCCTGCTCGGGTAGAGGTGGCAGTCCCGGCGTGCTTGGCGTTTTCCTTCACCCTGTAGTCTCAGCTGCCTGCAGACGCCGTCCTCGGGCTTGGGCCTCTCCCCTTTACTGTGCCCCTCAGTTCTCAAAGTCATCGAAAAATGTCCCCCTTGGGCCCGGGGATTCCTTCGTGACACATGCACACTTCAAGCCCAAGTTCCCTGCCGGCATTCTCAGATACCAGCACCCCAAGTCTTCCCTGAGGCCAGAGCTCTCCCTTATGTCTCAGCCACCCCCAAATATCACTAGCTCAGGACCCTCAGGTCCCAGTTCTCTCTGAATGCCCAGTGTTTCCCTCAGGGTCACCACTGGCTGCCACCAGAGGTTGGGTTCGACGCCCCCCTCCATTGGGGCCAGGCACACTCGGGTCAATGTCCTGGGCTTGGGTCATTCCTCATGATGACCCCCATCTAGGTCCTTCCCAGAACAGTGCTCTCTGTCATTGCATTAGCCCTGAAAGTCAGGGTTTCCCTCAGGGTCACCCCCTAATCCCAGGACACCCCTCAAGGTCACCCAGCCTTCTCTGCCTGTGTGACTAAATTGTGGCCTTCCTCAGAACAGGTGGGACAGAGATGAAGATCCTGTGAGGTCAGGAGCTCAGGGTGCAGGAACAGTAAATTCAGGGCCATCAACCCTCCCCACCCAAAAGGCCAAAACTGCAGGGATGGGAGGAAGGAGTAAACCACAAACTCACAAACTATCAGACCTTCAGGAATGAGGCAGGGGGCAGCTTTTATTTTAATTGGACAACAGGAGCCACACACAACACAGACCCCTGCCCCAAGCTTATGTCCGCCCCTACCCCAGGTGGGACAGGAATGCTGGGCCAGCTCTGACGCCCTAGGGGGCTGCTCTCTGTTTCCCCAGTCTCACTCCAAAAAGAGCCCCATCCCATCTGATACTGGACAGTCTCAACTTTTGGACAGCCTGGCACCACCTGAGGACTGAAAAGGCCCGTTTGTGTCCTTTCTGGACTCACAGGGACCTTGCTCCCTGCCCCATGTGCCAGGAGGGTGTCAGGGCTCCTCCCCCCAAGTTAGGAAGCTGCAGGGCTCAGGGAGAAGGGGCCAGGCCCACTCAGGTCAGGCCAGCCTGGTTCCGGAAGCTGGAGTTGGCATTTAACGGTCTGGGGACCCAAGGCAGCTTCCTCTTGAGTAACTGGCTGCTGGGAAGGCACAGGCCTGGCCCATGCCCCACCAGGCTTAGGAGAGAAAGGCTCCAGGCTGGGAGGGTTGTGGGGGGTTGTGGGGGCTGCAGACACAGCTTTGCCCTTTTTCATGGAGGGGCAACCACCCACCTGCCCGTTCTCCCCAGGAGTACAGCCCAGCTCCAGGTAGGACTGTGCAGGGGGAGGCCCTCCCCAAGTACGTTGTTGGGGGAGGGGGCCTGCAGCAGACAGCTGGGTCCACCTACCCCATTCCAGGCTACATCCCTCCCCAAGTCCCTCCTCCAGACACAGGTCTGGGTCTTCCCCCCACCCCCACCCCCCAGGCATCAGCCCACCCAAGGAAGGCAGGTGCCACAGGCTCCGAGGGGGCTCGACTCCTGTTCCTGCTGAACTGAGCCAGTCTGCACAAATCAACTGTGTTTCAGCTCAGTAGGCACGGGAGGCAGAGCCCAGGGAGGCCCCCACAGTGGGACAGGCAGGCACAGCCGCAGAGCCGGAGGAGGCGGGGTCCCGGGGGGCGGAACTTAGCCACTGTGAACACGACTTGGTGTGGACTCTGCTCACAAGCAGCTAAGCCCTGCTCCCCAGGCCGGACGCAGACAGCTGGGGCCTCTTGTGCCACCCACCCCCACCCCCATCCCCGGGCAGTGTCCTCAGCGGTGGTGGCGGTGGTGGAAGCCCCAGAGGCAGGGCTCAGGGTCGGTTGGAAATCCCTGGCAATGTGATTTGTGACAGGCAGCAAATCCCATCCCCAGGAACCCCAGCCGGCCATGGCACAGGGGTGGGGGGGCACCGGGTGGGGCCAGCGGCTGGCACCTGAGGGGGGAGAGAGAGCAAAGGAGGTAATGAGATTTGAAGACGTCTGTCCTGCAGGTGCCCCCTGCCTGCTGCTGCCCACGGTGGGAAGCCCTCCTCCCCGCACGCAGCAGCCACGGAAGAGAATGCTGTACCATCAGGATGCACGCCCACACCGCAGCCCTGCCCTCAGTCCCAGAGGCAGAGATGCCCAAATCCCTTTGGGCCAAGGAGGCTGCAGAGACTCCCAGAGCCAGGTCCCCCTGCTTTTCCCGCCCCCCCCCCACCAGCGAGCCCTGGGCGGGCTAAATGGGGCCATGAGGAGAGGAAGTCGAGGGGGTGGCGGGCAGGCGGGTGAGGAAGTGATCTCACCCCAGCTGGCGCCACTTCCTAGAAGCCTGAAGGGCAGGAGGAAACCACCAGGGCCTCCCCCCGTGGCCCCGTCTCCTCAGTGGCCAGGCCTCAGCCTGCACCCCAGCAGAGCAGATGCCTGCAGTGGGTGTCCAGCTCTCCCCTTGGGCACACACATCCCCAAGAGCACCACACCCAGGCTCAAGGTGCAAATCCCCACTCAGCAATTTCCCAAATGCCCTCCAAGCCTCAGTTTCCCCATCTGTAAATCAGAGCCAAGGGCCTCAACTGCATAGCACAGGGAGATTTCACCGAGAGTGCATATGTCATTTCAGCAAGTGCCCAGCACCAGGACTGCCTTCCAGAACTTTCAGGAATCAGTGCAAAATGAAATTGGGGGACCCATTCTTCACAAGTTAAGAATGTCAAGATGCTGACAGCAGAACATTAATCCAGGCTTCAGGTCGTTCTAAGCAAGGGAGACTCTGTGAGCTGCATGGTCACAAGCCCATGAAGCCGCCCTATGTTCAGTAAATGGAGATCTCCTTAATGTCAAGAGCCCTGTGGCTAGGACACCCCAACTCTGGAGCCAGTTTGGGCAGATCTGAACCCTGACTCTGTAGCTTCCTAGCTGGGTGACTCCTAGAAAGTCACTCAACCTCTCTGGGCCTCCCTTTCCCCATGCGCAAAGCAGGGATGTCGTGGTAAGGATCTCAGAAGTGATACGTGTAATTAAGATGGGGCTGGGCTGTTATCATCAGGCAGAAACAGAAAAGACGGTAGAAATGAGGACTCTGAACGCTGGTGGAACCCCAGTGCTCAGAGCTGGTGGCATCCACCACTGGGAGACAGGTGGAGAGCGATGTCCTGCTCTCTTCCCCAACCCGTCCTATACACGCACACACAGACACTGGCCACCCGCTTTCCCAGCAGGCCCCAGCCCAACCCTGTCCCCTCAGGGTCTGGGGGCACCAACCGGGAGCAGACAAGGCCCTGCAGGGCGGCCGGCCTCCCTGGGCCGCCTCCGGAAGTGAGACAGCACATTCGTGTCCCAGGGACGAGAACGGGAAGGGCGGCCATTTGGCCAGGCCCGTTTCCTGTGGGGTTTCCCCTGCACAGAGCCCCGGGCCGGGGCCAAGGCCACTCCCCATCCCTAAAGGCACAAAAGGCCTGGGTCTCTCATGGATGGGGCACTGCCACGCAGGTGCCCACGAGCCAGGACCCCCGTTACCAATGGTGTGCCTCTCGGGCTCACAAGAGGTGGTGTCCAGGGAAGGCCAAGTTCTTGGCAGCTGGAAGCCTGGGGAGAAGATGGGCCCCTGGGCCGAGGGAGCAAAGCAGGCCCCGAGCCACACCGATGTATGTATGTATGTATGTATGTATGTATGTATGTATGTATGCTGGAGTATGCTCTGCAGACAGGGCGTGGAGGCATGAGACAGAAGCAGGCAGGCGTACTGCTACCCCCCAACCCCATGCTCCAAGAATGAATCAGGGGCAGCTTCCGCCGGGGGCGCCACCACCACCACCGCCCCCAAGCCTGGTCCCCAAATACTTTCCACCCTCTCGGAGCAGCTGGGATCGGAAAATACCAAGGGCTACAGGCCCCGCCCTGCCCGCCACCGCCCGCCCTCCCAGCCTGTCACTAACGCTTTGCCTAATGGGCCTAGACTCTCCGCAGAGGCTCCCTGGGCCGGGCCCAGAGCCAGCCGCCAACCTGGGCTGCCCAGCCAAGTGCCGCCTGACCACCAGCCCCCCATCCATTACCCCAGTCCCAGCAAAGCGACCATAACAACGGGCCCGATGGGAAGCCCTCAGAGGCTGGCACCTGGGTGGAAGAGGGCAGGACAGTGGCAAGTGGGTGGGCCCCCGCTGCCCACCCGGGGCTGGGGGGAGGGGGCAGGCCCAGGAAGGGGTGAGTAAGTGAGGACTGAATCACTTGTTATAAATAGGGGAACCATGCAAGTCATATCCCAGCCCCCATTGCGCCCAGCCACGCCACACCAAACTCCAACCCCTGCCCTAAACTTTAATCCCCCTAGAGTCAGTCACAGAATTCCCGGGGTCCCCTTAACGTCCACACTGAGAGCCCTTAACTGAGGGGCACACCCTTCTGCCATGTTCATCCCTTGCCGTGTCCTCATGGGTCCACGTCCCGGTCCTGGCCTGTGTTTTGGGGGGCCCCTGGCCTCAAGGCAAATCACTGTCTTCTGGATCATGTCCTCCTTCCTCAACACCCCCAAAATTCCCAGGCCCAAGGCTTAGGGCCCCCAGGATCCCCAAAGCATTCTAAGGGTGTGGGTGACCACAGTCCTGGATGGTGATGCCAGACCCAGGCCAGGGGAAGGCCAAGGGTCTTAGAGGCTCAGAAGTCAGCTTCCTGGCGGCTCACCACCCAGGCCCCCCATCCCAGACCACCCAGGCCTGCTCTGCCCAGGGCCACAGCTCAGTGACCACACCCAGGGTGGCGCCAGCTCCAGCACCCTGGGGCAAGGCGCCGCTGGAGCATGACTCAGCCGTGCCCAGCATGGCGGCGTCCTTCTCTGCCCAAGGATTCCCACACGCCCACGCCCACTGCCCTCCGTGTACGTCCTTCCCAGGTGACCAGCCTTCTCCAGACACACCTCCTTGTCCACCCAGGACACCCGAAGGCAGGAGGAAAGGTGGCCAGAGCGTCCCACAAGGGATCTGCCACAGGAAGGGGAAGTGCGCTTCTCTCCGCTTGCTTTCCGACGCTCCCCATTTACAGATGGAGAAACTGAGGCCCGCAGGAATTCAGAGCCAGGCCCAAGGTCAGGCAGTAAATCTAAGGTAAAGCCAGGACTGCTCCTGGCAGAAAGTGTATCCAAATGGGAAGGGGCTGGCCAGCCAGCCCAGTGAGGGGCGGGAAAGAAAGGTGTTTTCTTAAGAACCCCCACCCCAGGGTTCCCGGCGGTTTCTTTCACCGCAAACAGAACCCCCTCTACTCAGCTTCCCAAGGCGAAGGGCACACTCTGAAAAATGCCTTAAGGTATATCAAAGCGCCACCTGAGTCCACAGCAATCCGGTCACCCCACTCTCCCCACCCTGAGCATAGGGCCAGTCACCCTGGGACTGCAGATGAGACAGGGATCTGCCCAGCAGCTGCAGCTTCCACGGAACATCTGGCCTCCACTTACAACAGGCAGGGGTGGGTACGGGGGTCCCCGGGAGGACCCTGGAGCATCCGCTTCCGCTGTGGCTCTCCAGTGAGCAAGGGTCTGCGGAGACTTGGAGGCTGGGCCAGCACAGACAGGCCCGACCCCCCTGGACACGCCCTGTCACGCATGTGCTCCGCGTGCCAGCCCTGGGCCAGGCCCGCAGCTATTTTCGGGCCCCCTCTTAGGCCCACAGACGAGGCCTGCCAGTTGGGGTCTTGAAGGAGCTCCCAGAGGACATCCTGCAAGGGCAGAGGCCAATGGGCGCCCTTCTGGGAGCTGGGACAGAGCTGGCACCCGGCCCCAGGGCCCGTGCCTTCCCAGGACGGCGGCGTGTGAACACATGCGCACGGGCTGGCCCGGGCAGGGTGCGTGGGCGAGCGGACAGGGTGTGTCCCACATCACCTCGCCTCTGAGCCGGGGCACCTGTTGGGTACTGCCCTCCAGCTCCGGCTGGCATGGGCAGGGCTGCCAGAGGACACTCTTCATGCCAGGGGTCCCACACACACACACACACACACACCCCCAGCCTTACCCTCATCCACCACCCGTCATCATAAGCGGGCAGCTGGTTAGGGCCGAGGCAGGGAGGGGACAGGTGACAGAGCCAACTGCACCTTCAAGGCATTCAGGAGGCCACGGGGTCTGGCTGGGCCTGGCTGGGCTGGGTAGGCAAGTCAGTGTAGGGCTGGGGGCTTTGGTGGCAGTCAAGTCCAGTGCTGGGGTCAGAGGTCAGTGTGGGGCTAGAATGCAAGGTTCAGGTTTTAGTCTGGGCCCTTCCACCCTCCCACAGCCCAAGGGCATGAGGACTGCGGTGACACAAGGCTGGGAGTCAGCCCTCCAGGAGTCTTCCAAACCCCGGGCCCCCTTCCGAAGGGACCCTGAATGAGCTCTTCTCTCCTGGGCCAGGAGGGGCCAGGAGGGAGGAGAGGGGTCCCCCAGTCTCCACGAAGCTGGGGCTACAATGCTGGGCCCCCACCCCATCTCCTCAATGGCAGGCCTCCCCTCCACTCATTGGCTGATATGGCGAGAACTTGAACCACTGTCACCCACCATCCATGGAACTCTGGGAGACCCCCATCCACTTCTCCACCCCATCCCCACCAAAGGCCAGATAGGTACCCCAGGAGTCCAGGCACAGTATATCCATCCCTCCTAACCCCAAGCCGGACATATGCCCTCCCCTTTCCCACCCTGCCGCGGACTCCGTGCCCACCTTGACCTGCCCCAGTCTCTGTGGAACCCGCCCTCCCCACCACGCTCTGATGGGTCTCATGGGTCTCCTGTGGGGGGGGAGTGGCTAGGGGTCCCCAGTGGGCTCCCGGGGAGCGGGTAAAGGTTGGGCCGCCCTTCCCCCGCTCCGTAGGGGGCGCCCCGGGACTCTGCCGCCGCCGCCGCCGCCAGATGCACGATCCCCGCTGCCCCCCCCACCAGCCACCGGCGGCGGGGCGGCGCTCTCCCCCTCGCGAAGGGCTGGGGACCCGCCGGGCGCACCCCCCCCACTCCGCCCACGAGTCCGGCGCGGAAAAGTTGCCGCCGCCGCCGCGGCGCCGCCGCCTCCCTCCCGGTTCCCTCCCCGACTCACCCGCGGGGGAGGGGAGCCGGCACTCGGGGCTCCGGCCGCCGCCCGGGGCCCGGCGGCAGAGTCGTGGGCGGGCGGCGGGCCCGAGACGGGCCGGGGTCGGTCGCCGGCCGCGCTCCATCCCACTCACTGGCCGGCCCGCCGCGGGGCCGAATCGCTTTTAAAACCTTCCCGTCTCCTCCCCCCGGCCGGACAGGGGGCGGGCGCGGGGCGGGGCGGGCGCCGCCGTCATGTGCCCCCGGAGCCGGTCCGCCCCCACTTTCTCTCTCCGGTCCCCCAACTCAGCCCCAACTTTCTCCCTCCTTGTCCCGACTCTACCTGGGGCCCCAAACCCAGCCCAGCTTCCCCCTCCCGGCCCTGGACTCTGGAAGCAGCCCCAGATTTTAAGCGAAGGCTCTCCCCGCGGGGAGGGAGGACAGAAGCAGGGGTCCTAATCCCCCTTGCACCCCCAAACCCCTCTTGGCAAAGTCCTGCCCCTGCGCAGGAGGAGAAACACAGGAGGCCGTGGGCAGGGGCAAGGGAGATGTGGGGTGGGAGGCGCGGCCCCAGACCGAGGACACACCGCTACGGTGTACCTTCCCTGGGAGGGCATGGGCCTGGGTATCCTGGGTTCCTGCCAATGGGCCTGGGTATTCTGGGTTCCTGCCAAACACCAATACCCACTTCCTCCAGTTCTTCCACAGCGTCTTCTTCAACCCCAGGAAGTCCCTCCTTTTATCCCACCCAACCGTCTCCTGCGGCCATTGAAGACTCTGCTCCCAGTCCTGGAGCAAGGTTCCCTCCCCGCTTTGGCTTCCCAGCATCGCTGTGCCCGCCCCCCCCCCCATCTACCCAGGGGCTCTGGGAAACTCCCCAGCTCCTGGAGTATCCCTGGGATAGAGTCCGTCCCTGGATCCCTCCCTCCCTCCCTGCCTGCGTCTGTCCCACCACATCCTCCACCGACCTCCCCTCCACCCAGAGAAACACGGCTGCATTGTTCCCCAGGACGGGGCCCTGCCTTGGGGCCTGGCCTTGTGCCCAGGTGGGGGGCCAGGAACAAAACTAAGCAAAGGAGGGGCGGGGTGCCCTCTGCCGCCAAGACAGCCTCCTCGGGCATGCCTGACTGCCACTTTGCCCTCTACAAGATGGGACAGGAGCTGCTGGCCGACAGACCACCACCACCACCACCACCACCACAGCGGGTGGGGTTCTGGAGCCAAAGGGCCCTTCTCAGACCTGTGTGGGCATTGCTTTGGGGGACTGTTTCTCTCCACCCACTCCCGACATTTCTGAAGTCATATAATTGGGGCTGGGGGTCAGATTCTTCACCACCCTCCTCCTGGGCAATAAGAGTAATGCTGGGGAGTGGGGAACCCAGCAGCAGGCCCAGGCAGGGGACCAGAGGACTGGTTGGATGCCTCTGGGTTACCTCGCACCCCAGAATTCCTCCAGAGTCCTTCATTTCCTTGGTTCAGCTCAGCAGGCTCCCACCTTGGATCTTAGTGGGATGGGGAGAGGCGGGTGAAAGCCACACCTAGCTACCATCCCATGGGACCCAGCCTGGGGGGTTCCTGGGTCTTTCTTCTCTGTGGGGCCCAAGGGGCAGGCTGGCCCAAGCAGCAGGATCTGGCAGGTTGGGGCAGGAGGGGGCAGAGCAGCCTGTGGGGCCCTGGGGGAAGATTTGGGGTGGCACAGAATTCCCCAACTCAAGGCGGGGCCCAGAGAAGGGTGGGGCACTTGCCACATGGCCTCCTGAGCAGCTACAAACAGGGGAATGGAGTTCTCAGGGTCCAGGGTCTCACACACACACAGGCTTGTCGTTGCAGAAATAGAAAGCGACCAAAATTACTACAGGGCACCCCCTCCACGTTGCCCCTCCAGAATGCCTCCTTCAGACCCCAGAACAAGGCCTCCCATCCAGAACCATCCCTCTCCTGTCAGTAATCCGGTTGGGCACATATTTAGGAGAAATGCCTCCTCCACGCTGTCCTCCAGTGATACCTGTGCCACGACCTTGTATACGCCATTACCTGCACGTGGCTCAAACCACCCCAGCTCACTAAGCATCGCACAAGCTTGGAGGGAGCTCCCAGTGCCACCAACCCTCCCTCTGGATCCCCCGACGTTTGCCCCACATGCCCTGGTCCTGGGCTGACCAATTTACCCAGGGACAGCAGCCAACAAGGATAGGAGCTCTCCAAACTGGCCAGCCGATCCTTTGTCATGACAGGGAGGGGTAGGGGTACAGGGCCAGGGTGAGGCCAGGTTAAGTGGTCAAGTGGCACAGGGATCACACACCCCCATTTGTTTATTCTTCAAACATTCATTGAGTGCCTGCTGTGTGCCAGGCACTGTTCTGGGCACTGGGGACACAGCAGAGAACAAGCCAGAAAAAAATCTTTGCCCTCATGGGGCTGACATCTGTAGGGGAAATAAACACATACAAAAACAGAGAGATGGGTATAAAGATATACTGTGTGTCGGGTGCTAGGTGTTAAGGGAGAACAGAAGGGGGCAAAGGAGATGATGATGGAGCCGGTGGGGGCCAGGTCAGGAAAGGCTGCATGAGGAGGAGGTGAGGGGCGCCTGGGTGGCTCAGTCGATTAGGCGTCTGCCTTCGGCTCAGGTCATGATCCCGGGGTCCTGGGGTCGAGCCCCGCATCGCATCGGGCTCCCTGCTCGGTGGGGGGCCTGCTTCTCCCTCTCCCACTCCCCCTGCTTGTCTTCCTGCTCTTGCTGCGTCTCTGTCTGTCAAATAAATAAATAAAATCTCTAAAAAAAAAAAATGAGGAGGAGGTGACATTTGAACAAAGACTGGTAGGAGGTGAAGGAGGAGCCATGCAGACATCTGTAGGAAAAGTCCAAGGTGGAGGGAACAGCCTGTGCGAGGCAGGAACATGCCTGGAGGATTTGAGAAACAATGAGGAGACCAGCGTGATGGAGGGAGGAGGGGAGCAGAGTGGAAGAAGATCTGAGTTTCAAATGCTTGCTCCCCGACTTTCTAGCTGACTATCTTTGGCCAAGTGATCACACTTCTCTGAACCTCAGTTTCTTTATCTTGAAAATGTGCAGTTTGCAGTTGTCACAAGGCTCTGAGAGATGAGAATATACGTCCTGGCCCAGGGCCTGGGGTGGGTCAAAGTTGGATAAGCATGTGCACAGAGGTATACCAGGTCTACGCAGTCATGTAGGCCTGGGATGGGGGTGCTGGGTCAAGGGACCCTGACAGACCCAGCTGCCCGGTAGGTCACCCCAGCTCACACGCAGGGCTGCCTGCCGGGGCCCATGGCAACGCTGCACACAGAGACATCAAACAGGCCCTGCCGAGGAAGTCCCACGTCACTGTGGTTAGGGTGGCTCCTCCCAGCCCAGCCCCCCTGGCGCTCGCACTCCTCCTTGCCAGTCTGGGCCCCGGCCTCCCATCGCCCTGGTGACAGGCGGTGTTACGGAGTGAGCAGGGATCCCACCACCTGCCCCCTCACTGGGGCTCCCGCGATTCCCCACATCCGGAAAAAGACATTATGAGGCGGCCCCAATTCACTGCCGCTAACCCCTCCATTCAGCCCACCCTAGACCCGTGGGGGAGCACCTGGAAAGCCCTTGCCTACCCACCTAGAGTTCAGAGTAGGAGAGGCCCCAGGGACCTGTGGGGACCCCCCAGCCTGGCGCCTGAAATCCCTAGGGCAGGGTCTGGGTGTTGCTCCGGGGCACTGGAGGGGTGAGTCAGACAGGAATAGCCCCCAGGCCCGGCCCAGCCCCCATCCGAGGACTGACTCACCACCCACCCAGCACCGGATGACATCAGGGCCTGGCCTGCCACCCTCACTTGGCACCGCGCCAGAATGGGGGCGCCCAAGAGGTGTCACATCTGGCTGCCTTCTCCCCTCTGCCTGGGGCCTGGCAGGCGCAGGGTTAAGGAGGGGCCCTCCTGGGGGTCTCCCCCGTAATCCCATCCCCCCCCTTTCCCGGGGATTTCGGGCCCCAGCCCCTCTGACGTCACTGGGGGTTGCTATGGCAACTGGCTGAAGTTCCCAAATAAAATTACCGCGGGCGGGTTAAGTTTCCTAGGAGGCAGCCGACGGGTAAACAATGGCGGTGGCAGGCGGGGCCGACGAGGGGCCGTCTCCCCCTCCCACCCCTCACTCCGCTGGGACCCGGGGGGTCCCCACGGCGGGGAGCAGGATCCCCGCCCCCTCCCGCCCGGGACCCGAGAGTCCGTGAGCAGCGAGGGCACCGGCGCACAGATGGGGGACAGCGAAGCCACCACCGGGGGGAGCGGGGGGAGGGGGGGGAGGGGGGACCTCGGACGCGAGGCTAGGGCGGCGGGGAACAAAGGGGGGACCCGAGGCTGGGATCCGCCTTCCGCACACCCCGCCTCCCCACGCCCCCCGCCCCGACCCGGCCGGCCGCCAGTCCAGCTGTGGCTGCTCCCAGCTGCCTGGCTCCCCACATCTGGCGGGCCGCGCGCTCACTTCCTGTCGCCCCGGCTGCCTGGAGGGAGGTAAAAATAACCCTCCCCCTCCCCCTGCCGGCGGGCGCAGACGGCGGCTCCTCCCGGCCTGGAGGAGGGCGAGGCCGAGCCGCAGCGGGGGAGAGGAGCCCCCCTGAGGCCGCCTCCCGTCCCTCCCACTGCCTCGGTGTCCTGGGAGGAGGGGCGCAAGGCGGGGGGGGGGGGTGGCACGGATCCTGGGCTGCGGGAGGGGGCCTTCGGGCCACCAGAAACCGAGGGAACCTTCGTGCCCAGGCCCGGTCTCCCAACCCCGTGGAGGAGGGGGTGTGCCAGCTCTAACCCGCTGGTGGACTGCAACCGACACGCCTGGCTTCCGGCGGGGGGGAGGGGGGTTGTCACTCACAACTATACAGACGACTTACCAAAAGCTCTCTGGGTCTCAGTTTACCCATCTGTAAAATGGGACGATAGTGTTCACCTCGAAGTGCATTTGCTCAATATTGTTAGCTCTTCTCTTTTCCCCATCCCTGGGGAGGCAGGGAGTAGGGGGCTTGAGACCTTCGAGTACTCTTGCCAGATAAAACACGAGACAGTTACATTTGATTTTCAGATAAACAAGGAATCGTTTTTTTAGTATAAGTTATGTCCCATGCAATACTTAGGACATATTTATACTTAAAAAATAACTTACTTGTTCTACATCCGAAA